GTTTCTCCAGGTGTGTTCCCTGGAACTCCTCCCAAGACGTGTCCCTTTCAAATCAAAGTTTCCAGGGTCGATAAGTCAGACCTGCTGCCCGTTCTCTGCTCTCTGGCGGGATCCTCAAAGGTCCAAGTTTCTGAGAAGCGCTGTGGCAAAGGAGTTTGCTTTGGTACATAGCTTTCAACACCATGAGCTCCTCACACTCTGTAGGGAGTCGGGAATCTGTTATTCCGAATTATATCAGAGATCCCTTTAGATTCCAGGCTCCTGAAGTCAGCTGTTGGGGCTACCTCTCTGCCTCTGAACAGGACAACCTCCAACCCTCCGAGTCTGTCCTCTCCTCTGGGTTAGCGCCCTTCTCTCCTGCCCTGAGCTTGCGCCCTCCTACTGCCCCGGAACATTCCAGAACCCACCGCTGGGATTCTCCAATGTCCTGCGCATCCTTTCCTTCTTAGCTCCCCATCCTAGCAGTATAAATTGTATCGGGCGTCCGGGCTGAGACAGAGCTGAGGGACAGGGTGCTCCTGTGACTCAGCTAGGTCGGCGCGGCGCAGCGGTGGGCACAGCGCTGAGAGCAGGACCGAGCACCCCGCCTGCGGCTCCCCGGCGCCTGGCTTTACCTCCGGTTTCCGTCCTGCCCTCTGCTGCGGTCTGCGGACGCGGCGCTGTCTTTAGTGCTGCTTCTCTGGGAGGGTTTTCTGGCATACCCCGAGGAAGCATCACCTCCCCAAAGGTGGAAGCCACGTCTGTGTCTGCTCCAGGTCCAGCCCCGCCCTCAGGACAGCGCGGGGCTGCAGCCATGGTCAGGGCCAGGTCAGCGAGTGTCCCAGCTGTGCCCTGCATTTCAGCTCCAAACGCTGCTCCCCTGAGTGGTGCGGCCACGGCACTTTATTCTACAAAGCCACGCAACAAGGTCCCTCTCACACTTCAGAGGTCTGGAATCACATCGGTTCTCGTCCAGGAGTCTTAATTGTCCACACTGGGAGAAGCCTTAGTTAACTGGACTCTTAGAATCAGCACACCCGCTATGGTTTGCGTGTCTGTGGCCCTGTTCAGATTCTTATATGGAAACAACAACCACGACGCTGGTGTTGGCAGGTGGTGCCTCTGCGAAGCTGTCAGGCCATGCGGATGCAGCCTTCATGAACAGAATTAGTGCCCCCACAGAGAGGCCCCGAGAGCTGCCGTGCCCCTCCCGCCAGGGGGAGGGGGAGGAGACGCCACCTTTGAACCGGAAGCACCCCCACCTACCCCACCCGCCACGGTCACCACCACCTCCAGACTCCAGATCTTAATGGTGGACTTAATGGTTCTCCCAGAACTGCGGGAACCCAACCTCTGCTGTTCCCAGGCCACTCAGCTCATGGTATTTTATCAACAGCAGCCCAAAGAGCCCCAAACAGAAGAAAACACGTTTTTACCAGGGGTTAAAAGAGAAGTTGGCCAATTTCTGGGGAGAAGCCCTTCACACACTATGCAGAGACTGGGTCTGAAGGAAGGCAACCGTGAAAGAACTGGTTGAAATGTGCACTCTGAAAAATAGCATCTTCTGCTAATTCCCTTGGTGACCAGGCAACAGGGAGGCAACGTGGCTAAGGTCTGCCAGCAGTGACCCCAGTTTGCTCCGTGGCTGTGCACCTGCTCTGGGGCCATCCCTCCGGCCTGTTTCTGTGCCTCTTTTCTCTGGATCCAGGGGCAGTCTGTGGGGTTACCGTGGTCGCCCATAGCTTCCTTCAGGAATATCTGTCCACTAGATGGCAGTGTGCCTGTAACTGGCAGCGCTGCACCATCTCAGCCCCGCGCAGTCCAAATGCTAGCCCCTGGCCACAGGTGGCTACTGACTACTTGAAATGTGGCTGCTCTGGATGGAGCCACGCTGGAAGAACAAAACGGCCAGAGGTTCAGTCATTGAATTCAGAGAAGAGGAAGCGAGGAAGAGGGAAGAGGAGGAAGAAGGTGACAGTGTAGGAGACAAATATATGAATAATTAATACACCAATCACATGTGGAATGATACTGTTTTGGATATATTGAGTTAAGTAAATATCAAATGAAGACTCATTTTACCTGTTTCCTTTAAAAATTTTTATTTGGTTATTTTAATGCCAGAGAGACAGACACACAGAGAGAGCTGATTTACTCCCCAGATGTGTGCAATACCTGGGGCTGGGCCAGGCCAAAGACAGGGGTCTGGAACTCAGCCCAGGTCTCCAAGGTCAGTGGCAGGATCCGCACTTGAGACAGCACCTGCCGTGTCCAAGGGTGTGCATTTTCAAGAAGCTGGATCAGAAGTGGAGCCAGGACTCACTCTGTGGTGCAGGCATCTTAACACCTGCCTCAAACACCTGCCACCAACTTTTCTCTTTTAATGTGGCTACTGGACAGTTTCACATTACCCCTGTGGCCAGAGAAGTGAGACAGGCAGGTGGAGAATGGTGGGATGGGGAAGCGGAGCAGAGCCAGCAGCCCAGGTCCTGTGCAGAGTGCGAGAAAAGGGGGGGTTGGCAAACGAGCACGTTGGCTTGCGTTGTGGGTCCTGTATTTGCTGTGTGCTTGTGACTTAATCATTGTAAGTGTTGGTTTCCTCGCCTGTCAACGGGCAGATAAATGCTACCTTCTTATGTGGACCTGGCCTGAAGCGCTGGCATCCCATATGGGCGCCGGTTCTAGTCCTGACTGCTCCTCTTCCGATCCAGCCTTCTGCTATGGCTGCTATGGGAAAGCAGCAGAGGATGGCCCAAATCCTTGGGCCCCTGCACCCACGTGGGATACCCAGAAGAATCTCCTGGCTCCTGGTTTCGGATTGGCGCAGCTCTGGCCGTTGCGGCCAATTGGGGAGTGAACAAGCAGATGGAAGACCTCTCTCTCTCTCTCTCTCTCTCTCTCTGTAACTCTGTCTCTCAAATAAATAAAATAAATCTTCTAAAAAAAGAAAAAGAAAGGCTGCAACAACTCTCGGAAAATGTAGTCTTACCCAAGACACTTGTCCAGTTGACTAGTGGTGAATGGTCACTTTGGGGGGAGTGTAAGCAGGGCCTAAGAGACTTGGGGAAGGAACCGGGTACGTGTGGAAGAGAAACGCCTGGTTGGGGAAGTCGTGTGGATGAGCTGGCGGGGAACAGCCCTGAGCAGCATCTGGAACCCCGGAGGGACGGGGATCCAGCCAAGGACCCAGCGTGCGCAGAGGCTTGGCGGTGCGGCTGATTTTGTGTAGAGTCCATGGCTCTGTTTGATCAGCGGGAGGGTTGTCGGGGGAGGAGAGGGGCGGGCGTCAGGCAGAGAAGTCTTCCTGGAGGCTCTGGGTGGACAGTGGTGGGGTTTCAGCGTGATCCTCCTGGCACGGTTTTTGAGAAGGGGACTGGTAGGATAAGATGCGGCCATTAAGGACCCTTGCTCAGAAGTCACTCAACACATGACGGGGAGTGAGGAGACACAGTCTGGATGCTTGGCGGGGGCGCGGGCTGGAAAAGTGGCAGGAAGGGGCTGTTTACAGAGACGCCACTGAGGCTCATTTCAGACCCTTTGGGCAGTGATAGGATGTGAAAAATTTAAAAATACGAAAAGGTGATTGCTGACAGGGTGGCGAAAAGTAAAGAGACTTCAGTTTGGCATTAACATTAGAAGGCCTGTGAGGGGCACAATGAGGCTTTTTTAAAAAAAATTTAGTGGTGGGGGGGAGAGAGACCACTGCCATCCCTGGTTTACTCCCCAAATGCCCACAATGGCTGAAAGCCGGAGCCCGATCCAGCCCTCCGGCGAGGGTGACAGGGACCCACGTGGCTGAGCTGTCTCCGGCCTCCTCCTGGAGTGCACGCTCTCAGGAAGCTGGAATCAGAAGCGGAGGTGGCACTGGAACCAGGCACTCTGCTGTGGGGCACAGGCCCCCACGTAGCGTCTCCTCTGCTGTGCCAAACACCCACACCCATCATAGTTTTATTCAGTGTCTGTCTGTCTAAACGCTTGTGACTGGCGAGCAGATGGGATGTCAGGAGAGATGGCCAGGCTGGACAGGCCAGTTACAGAGTCGTTTGTTTTGAGGAATTACGTCTGAGCAAAGGAAAGAATGGCAAACTGGACGAGTGTGCCAGTCAGTCGGTCAGATTCTGAACAGGCAGCGGTGCCACAGGAAATTCTGGCGCATGAGGAGGGTTTGCTTACAAAAGGGCTCAGGACGGCGGTGTCGGGGGGAGGGGGCAGAGGAGACACAAGGCGGGGGCTGAGAGCAGGGCCGGGGCAGCAGCCCGTTTACTGTCCTTGCCCCTGAAGTCAGGGGACAGGGACATGAACAAGGGGCTGCGTGGAGTCTGACACCTGGAGGTGCCGTGCGCTTCTGTCCCAATGACCCCACAGAGGGCGCACCAGGCACACACATTCTCTGTCTCCCCGGTGGCATCTGGGAAAATGGAACATTCTGGAAAGGCAGCATAGTGGCTGCTGCTGGGGAAGATGAGATGCGGATGCGCTAATTCCTCAGGGGAGAGTGATTTCCAGTTGTTCATTCCTCTATCCAATACCCTCTATTAGGTTTCCTTCTTATTACAAATTTATTACATGCTCATTGTGGGGAAGTTAGAGACGCCAGGTGTGCAGAAAGAAGCAATTACAAGTTAGGGGGATCCCACTGTTCAAACAAAAATATGGTTCACAAAACGCAATTATTCTGGGTTTTCCTGTTAAAATGCTTAGCTTTGATGTCTTTTTATGTTGCCACATAAGGACAGGTGGCATTTTGAACAGCTGCTTGTATACAGAAGCATTCTGATTTATTTATTTTTTTAAAGATTTATGTATTTGAAAGTCAGAGTTACACAGAGAGAGGAAAGGTAGAGAGAGAGAGAGAGAGAGAGAGAGAGAGAGAGGTCTTCCCTCCGTTGGTTCACTCCCCAATTGGTCACAACGGCTGGAGCTACGCCGATCCGAAGCCAGGAGCCAGGAGCTTCTTCCGGGTCTCCCATGTGGGTGCAGGGGCCCAAGGACCTGGGCTGTCTTCTACTGCTATCCCAGGCCATAGCAGGGAGCTAGATCGGAAGTGGAGCAGCTGGGTCTTGAACTGGCGCCCATATGGGATGCCAGCGCAGTTAGGCCAGGGCGTTAACCCGCTGAGCCACAGTGCCACCCCCCCCAATTTATTTAAGCTACCTCCTCAGTGGAAATTTTTCCACATTCTATTTTTTGTAAGATTTATGTATTTATTCTAAAGGAAGAAAGAGAAAAGAGAGAGGAGAGAGATCTTCCATCCACTGGTTCACTCACCAATGAGTACAACAGCTAGGTATAGGCAAGGCCAAAACCAATAGCCAGAGACTCCATCCTGGTCTCCCGTGCAGGTGGCAGTGACTCAAGCACTTGGGCCATCTTCGGCTGCTTTCCTAGGCACATGAGCAGGGAGCTGGGTCTGAAGTAGAGCAGCGGTGATCTCACACGGGATGCCAGTGTCACAGGCGTTGGTTTAACCCACTGTGCCACTACCTCGGCCCACGTGCTGCACAAGCCCGCATCCCTGCATGCATCTGTCCCTACTCAATTCTCAGAGGTGGAACCTCAGTGGCAAAGAAAGGAAGCTCCTTTTAGAAGATACTGTGACACGTTTTAGCATTAACTTTAAAAATAAATAATTCAAGGGCTGGGGTGTAGACTTCTTGGTCAAACCTGGCTTAAAACACTTAGTGAATGTGGGCAAATCACGGAGTCTCGCTGGACCTCAGTTTGCCCCTGTAACGTGGGGTCGCTAAGGAGGACTGCAGTGACGACTGAATGAGCTATCCAGCGTGAGCTATCGAGGTTGTCAAACGCCTTCAAGAAATGCCACAAGGCATCTCCCCGATTGCCTCTTCTTCCCCTGCATCCATTCCAGAACCCGGGGATGGAGAAGCGAATCAAGCCCTGCGCTCCAGGAAGCGTCCCCACCTGTCTGTCCCCATCCGCCTCTCTCCCGTCATTCACACTGGCGCCTTCATTCCTAGTGGGAGGTGCTTTCCGATTTGGGAGAAGCCCTTATGTGAGTTCGCCGCTTGGTCTTTGCAACCCAGCTACACAGCCTCCGCCAGCAGATGGAGAGGCTAAGACTCAGTGCAGACGAGGGCTGTGTCCCGGAGGGCGAGATGGAGCCATATTCGGGATGTGAGCCCATCTCTTCTGACTTCAGGCCTCGGGACCACACAGCCGCAGCCTAAGTGCTCTGACGTCTCAAGCGCACAGGGCTACGTTTAGCAAGGTTCCAATGGGACAGGAACTGGCCCCACTGGGTGGTGGAGGAAAATTGACATAGGACAGTCAGGGTGCTCTCATTGAGAAGCGGGCATTGGGAGCAACAACAGGAAGAATTGGGCCCTGTGAAGAGATGGGGAGAGGGAGCAGACCTTGCGGAGACCCTGAGTGCGAGCAGGAAGAGAAAACGCAAGGAGTCAGGGTGCCTGGCAGTCCGGCCCGTGCCCCAGGTGCCGCTAGAGGGCGCTGCGTGCCAGTTTTCTCAGTCCCCGACGCCGGCCCTGCAGGATCTTTGGACGCGATTTAGGGTCATTTTGGTTTTGCAGCGAAATGTTTTGGACAAATCAAAGTTCTGGATCAAAGAGTTTGCACATTTTAAACGTGAGAGTCACTTCCTGAAAATCTAAAATCATTTGCCTCCTGCTACCTTGAATGTTCAGACTTAACTGCTGCCTCTTGTCCAGAGGAAAAATACTACAGATTTTTGGTCAGGCATTCAAGGCTTCCTCCATCTGCCCCTAGCAAACTTCCTCCATCTTTTCTCCTGTTGTTCCCCTGAGCAAAGTCCCCTGGCTTGGCCATCAGACAAGGTGGTGAGCCCAAGAAAATCAGAAAAGCTAAAACAGAAAGCAGTGGACCTGGCTGGCGGGGCCCAAGTTGGTTAACCTGCCTTGGTGAGCTGGTGAGAGGCTCGGGGCTGGGGTTCCTATCACTCACAGTCCCTCGGTCCCTGCTGGCTCCCCAGCCACTTGTCTTTCCTCTCCATGGGATCCGACATCCACCCATTCACAAACACGCACTGGCGCTCTGCTAAGCGCTGGGGGCCTCATCATGTGAAAGACTGGGCCCCAGCCCTTTAGGCGCACTCACCCTGGAACCTTCTGGTTCTCCGTCTGAATCTCTCCACCCCAGTGGGATCCCTGAGAGCCTTCTCAGCCACCTTCCTGCCCACTCAGTTCCTGCTTCTGCCATCTCTATCACGTGGTCTCTGCCTCGAGTTTGGCCCTTGGCATCAGGTCTGTGGCAGTCACTAATGATTATTGGGGAAACCCAGTTTTCAGCCCTCCACTAGCAGAGGGTGTAGATTACATTTTTATATTCAATCCTTGCAACCTCTGCTCACGTAGAAGTTGAGGTAGCACTTGTGTATTATATTGGGTTGTTGAAGATATGATCATTCTCACCTCTGCTAGAAAGAAAGAAAGAAAGAAAGAAAGAAAGAAAGAAAGAAAGAAAGAAAGAAAGAAAGAAAGAAAGAAAGACTTACAGCACCTCCTCCTGGAAATCCTCCAGGAATGCTTATCAGGTTGACAGAGAGCCACTGGCCTGCACATGTGCACACATGTCCACACACACACACTCATAATCCTCCCAGGCCGTGTTCTATGAGAACAGCTCTGTCTGCACAGTGGATGAGAAGTTGGTTTTTGAAAGCACAAACCCCTGGGTTTGTTTGAATCGTGGCTCTGCAATGCGTTTGCCCACATGGCCCCTCACGTCTGTGAGGCTCGGCTTCCTCACCTGCACAATGGGCATCACACAGCTATGTTTGCCTGCCGGCGATGGGTGGAGAAGTGCCATGAGAAGAAGGGAGTGAGTGTCACTGAGGCGCTCCAGCACCAGGCCAGGTGCACTGCAAGCCACAGCACATTAGCATCGCTGGCTGGCTGGCCACTCGCTATTATCTGGGAGCTCCCAGAGGGCGGCACAGAGCTGCCATTGCCTCCTCTGAATTGCCAGTGCCTGTCAGAGTCTGGGACACAGCAAGTGCTTAATTAATGTGCGCTCATCGGGTGGGGGACCACCCGTGCTTGCTTTAAGAGAGAATCTGACAAATATGATCAGTGCTCATCCCAGATTAACAATAAGAACCCCCGGCACAGCATCTGTCAGAGCAGGAAGGCAGAACATGGGAGTTGCTCAAGCCCCTGCCAGGGGGCCCGGTTCACGACCCTGCCATAAGCCAGCCTCAGACCCCTCCTCTTGGATTCCATTAAGTTCTTAATTTTCATCTGAAACCAAACAATTTATATCCTCCCATTATAATTCAATTTTCTCTCTTCCTCCCAAAGCAGAGCAAGTTGCCCACAGAGACGTGGGCCATTGTTTGCATTTATAGCATCCTGATTAATCCAGCCCTGACCCCTGGGCTCCAGGCTCAGCCTGGAGAAACATAGCAGCTCCCTTTCCACAGGGCCTATTAAAATGACTTCCCTTTAATTGGTCCAAAGCCGCTGGCGATGATGAGCTGAAAAAGAAAATAAGAAGCTGGTCGTCCTGTTGCATTGCAGGGTGTGAGAAGGCCACTCGGGTGTACCTGCATTGTGTCTGCAAGCCCCTGGGTGAAGGAGTCGGCACCAAGGCTGGGGGCAGGGAGGCAGGACGGCTGGCAGGGGGCTTGCGCCCTTCTGATGGCTTAGCCTGGGTTTCTGCAGCTTATGTTGGAGCTCAGAACAAAGCATGCAAAAATGGAAAACACTGTGGATTAAAATTAGACCATCAGCAAAACTGGCCTATGCAAATACGGATCAAATGCTGCCGGTTAATCTTTTGGATACTAACGCTGGGGCTTTGAGAATTTACCATGTTTCAGACACTGATCTGAGCACTTCTAAGGATAAAGCCCTTGGACCCTCACAACAATCCCGATAAGGAACAGGTTATTTTCCCCATTCGCAGGTGAATGTGTGAGAGCATGCAACTTAACCAAATCCGTAGATCTAAGCGGCAGACAGGGCCACAGCTGGCCTGTGTAAGTCCTTGTAGAACTGGCATAAGACACCTGTTCCTTGTGGAGGCTGCAAGGATCAAGGATTTGTGACGGGGGCATGGGCTGGGTGCCAGCCCACCCCATCTCTTGGCCTAGAGTCCACCCAAACCCTACATGGCCACCGTGGTGGCAGAGGTGGGATGGGAACCCAGGCTGAGTCTGCAGTCTGTGCATGTAACAGAGACACAATCCTGCCTCTGGGAGCTTACTCCTGCGCACTCTGTCCCTGAGCTGAGAGCAAAGCTGGGAGAAGTGACGCTGCCTTGTTGGATTGCTCAGGAGAGTTCACCAACACATCGAGACCCCAAGGGCAACTTTAGGAGGACTTGAGCACAACCAGCCAACAAACACCGCCAACACTCGAGTTTTTATCTCCTGAATTATTCTGAGTGCTCTACCCGAATTCTTTCCCTTCCTCTGCCCCAGAAATTAGAAGCGATTCTTCTCCCATTTTATAGATGGGAAAACTGCGGCTCAGGGAAATTAAGCAACTTGGCTGAAGTCATACAGCGGAGCAAGCTGTGACTCACCAAAGCCCACGCGTTCTCAGAGCCACCTCCCTAATTAAGATGTCACTGGTGAAGTCGCCCTTACCACCCCCTACTGGGGGCGGGAGGTGTTACGCACGAGGACTCCATTTGCACTTTATATCCGCTCTGACTTGTTGGGCACCCGAGCAGGAGTGTGACACATTCCCAGAGCGGGCGCTGGTCCTAGGGGTGATGGCTGGGAGGTTGCCCCGCCCTCAGGAAACAGAGCAAAGTGGAATGCGACCTGTGCTCTGTGAGCCGCACGTCCGCAGGGCCGCGCTTTCTCAAGTGCGTTTGACAGACGTGCGGTTCCCTGCGATGTTAACGCATCTCGAAAAATATTCACAGTCACCTCTCATTTGTGAAGCACTGGGCTGCCAGGGTGAGCTTTCCTTTCTCCACTGCAGGACTTCGGGGAACCTTCCCTCCCCTGCTCTACACGGCAGACTCGCCGCACACTGTATTGCTTTAATTACCAGGAACCAGGCCGTGTAAGGCGCACCATTCACCCGGTAACTGTCTTCCCAGCCGTCAGACACGTTCACATTTAACATACAGTCGCGCGCAGCGTGACGACGTGCCTGTCAAAGACGGACCACGTATATGATGATGATCCCAGAAGATACGTCACTGAGCCACCCTTGCCTTAGCTGTGTCAGCACGCTCCGCTGATATTACACAATGACAACCTAGTGGATGGAACATACGTCTCTCTCTCTCTCTCTGCCTTCCATATACTTTCAGATAAATAAATAAATCTTTAAAAAGACATATAATATATAACCAGGCAGACAAAAGGAACTTAAACAAATTAGAAAATCGCCATTTCCACACAAGTACCTAACAGAGGATCACATATATAACTCACAGATACATTTCATTTACTTTTCCCTCGGCTTCTGACGTTTTCCTCACTGAAGCTGTTCCAAAACCCCTCCCATGTCACACTGGGGAGAATTTTCTAGGGCATCCGGCCCACTAGGACTTTCTTCCCCTTTCTGCTGCCTGCTCTTTCCAGCTCTCTGATGGGTGTTTCTTCTGTGCCACCCACCTCTCCTGTCTAACTCTCTCTACTCCTTCTCCAGAGGTGCAGGGGGAGAGGAGAGGAGACTCTGAGTGTCAGATAAAATCCCCGGTGCGGGGTGTGGAGAGAGCAGGCAGGTCATGTACATAAATCTTATCCATCATCTTCCCGCCCAGCACACACAAATAGCAGAGTGTAGAGTTCCTTGGTAGAACTGGCCCTACATGAAGAAGCATCTCATCCAACTGACCCTTAACACATATTTACTGAAATATAACTTACTGGTCACTTGACTTTTCTGATCACCAAATTTCTCTTCTGAAAATAAATGGAAAAATGAATAATATGACTAAGGAATAAATGAATGAATGACACTGTGGCTGCTGTGGCCAGCTGGCTAACAGGGTGGATGTGCACTCTCTTTACCTCCCAGAGTATGGATTCCTGCTGAGAATTAGCTGCCAAGTTCATGGACTACATTTCCCAGTCCCCCTTGTAGCTAGGTGGGACCATGTGACAAGCCCTCACCAATAGGGCTGTGAGGCTAAGTAAGGCTTGCTATTGGCAAAGCATTTACATATCAGATGCTCAGTCATCCACAGTCTCTCCCCTTTCCCCTGTCCCTCTCCTTCTGTAGCCTGCACTGGCTGGATAACTGAGTTCCAAGGTGACATCACAGTCTCAAGATAGTGGAGTCACAGAATAGAAGGCATTCGATCACCCTATCAGCCACCTGAAGAGCCACCAGCCAGGAACATCCATGGCATATTTCTGTGAATGGGAGACCACGATTACTGGGTAAAGTCCATGAAATTGTGGCACAGGGATGGGCCCTTGGTGCAATGGTTAAGACACACATTAAGATGCCTGAATTCCAGATTGGGGTGCCTGGATTCATGTCCTAGCTCCCTTCCCCACTCCAGTTTTCTTAGATTCCCCCCAGGGGTGTTTGCTCAAGTGTTTGTGTCCCTGCCACCCACCTAGAAGATCCTGATTGAGTTCCTGGCTCCCAGGCACTGGGGGAGAGTGAACCAGCATATGGGAGATCTCTGTCTCTCAGAAACTGCTGGAGGGTGGTTGCAGTAGTTAATTTGTCCTGGGCCATTCACCTCCTTCTTGGAGTTGTCATGTAGTGTGAGGGTAGTGGCTTGAATGGAAATCCCCAGAAAGAAATCCATGACCAAATCCCTGGAACTTGTGAATAAGATCTTAGTAGGAAAAAGAATCTTGGCAGATGCAATTAAATTAGGGAGCTTGAGGTCATCTCAGGTCACCTGGCTGGGCCCCAAATCTGACTATGAATGGCTCTGGGAGAGGCTGAAGAGGAGATGACACTGACAGAAAAGGAGGAGGCCGAATGGAGACAGGCAGAGATGGGAGTGGAATGGTCACACGCCAGGGACCTGCAGGAGCTCACGGAGCTGCAGGAGGCCAGGAAGGGTTCTCCCCTCAGAGCCATCCAAGGGAGCATGGCCCCGTCCACAGCTTGATTTTGAACTTTGGGCCTTCATTAATGTGAGAGAATAGATTTCTATTATTTTAAATCATGTGGTTTGTGGTAATTTGTGAAAGCAAAGGAAGGCACTCAGTGGATAGGAAATTCTAAAATAAAACAGGGACCAGTGTTGTGGCACAGCAGGTTAAGCCACTGCCCACAATGCCAGCATCCCATATGAGTGCTGGTTCAAGTTCTAGCTGCTCCACTTCTAATCCCTGTCAGTGCACCTGGGAAAGTAGCAGGAGATGGCCTGCGTGCTTGGTTCCCTGCTTTCCATGTTGGAGTTCCAGGCTCCTGGCTTCGGGCTGGCCCAGCCCCAACCATCAAGGCCATCTGGGGATTGAAATAGCAGATGGAAGACCTCTCTCTCCCTCTCTGCATTTCAGCCTTTCAGGTAAATAATCTTTTAAAAAGATAAAATACAACAACATTTTTGCCTCTCCACTTCCCTCCTTAGAGACAGCATCTTCTGGGAGATGGTGCCCCCTGGAGAGAAGGCACAAATCAAATCTGCTTTGTTAACTCTCTGAGAAAATTCTGGTGACATTTGTAATAATATTTGTACTGAGAGTAAATGCGGACTTGGAGCTTTGGGGGAATAATCTTATTATTTATGGATGACACACACACATTTTCATTAATGTGTTACAAAAAGTATTAAAAAGCTTCTCTCTGCAGTGTCTTTTTGGAAAAAAAAATCCTTTTTTTTTTTTCTACTTGAGAGAAACAGAGAGAAACTCCCATAGGTTGTTTCATTCCCCAGATGCCCACAACAGCAAGTCCAAAGCCAGAAGCTGGGGACTTAATTCACGTCTCCTACATGGGGGGCAGGAGAAAAACTGCTCTGGGCCATCGACCCTGCTTCTCAGAGCCTGCATTCGCAGGGAGCTGAAATCAGGAGTAGAGCAGGCCTGGCACCCAGGCTCCCTGACATGGGGTGCAGGTGTCCCAGTGTCGTAAATGTGCCAAATGTTTGTCCCTGCAGTTGTCTCTTTTAAATGGCTGCAGCAGGTGGCTCCTGGGACTGCCACCCTGTGAGCTGAGGAAGAACCAACCTCATTCCCAAGGTTCTGGTTCAGAATGAGTTGTTGGCTCGGAGTTGGCCAAGACTGTTGGGAGGGCCATTTTGAGACCTAACCCTGGCTGAGGTCTAAGAGAGGGTGTTGGAAAAACCCTCTCAGCTCCTGCTGACCGATGCTGTGATGTGGCCAACACAGGGGAGGTTAAGGGCTGAAGGTTAAGGGCTCCTGTACCCCAAGAGGTTCCCCAAGTCGAATGTGGCTTCTTACATTGAGACAGATTCAGAATAAACATTAGCTCTCCACTCATACTGTCTGCATTTCAAGTGTTCCGTTGACGTATGTGGCTAGTGGCTGCCATGTTGGACAGCTCAAAGTTATAGAACATTTCCACCATCATAGAACATTCCGTTAAACTACGCTGCTCAGGCAGCAAGAAGTAAGTTTCAACTTTGTAAGTTACCATCACCGACCTTGGTACATTTACAAGGGTACTTCAAAAGTTCATGGAAAATAGAACCAAAAAATAAGTTTTATTTTGATGCAAAAAATTTTCAACTCCATGCACAGTTTTTCATACTCACTTCATGATCTTTTTGAAATACCCTTGTATCTGATGAGTCATTATAGATCCATGAAACATCACTTTGTAAAACAATATCACAGAAATGAGAAAGCATTTCTATTTAAAACTAGAACATATATAAAGTTATACAGTATATTCCTAAATTTGTTTTCAGAAAGCCCTTGTATCTATCTTTAGAATATAATCCACCAATAATATGACAGTGCTTTCCTTGGGATGCTGGTTTCTGCTCTCTTTTTACTTTTTTGGGCTTTCAAATTCTCTACAACTTGCCTCAATCAAGTTGTGACTAGAAGACACTATGCATGCAGAAAGTTGTAGTCTTATATGATACCTCAGAGCCCTTTGAGGGCTGACACTCTATGACAGCAAAGGATTTGAGAGCAGAGCCTGTTTATAGCCTTGTAGGGAGGTTGGGAGGGACCTGGGCAGGCGTCATTTAGCTCTCGGACCCTGTTCTGGCAAGATACCCATGAAAGTGGCTGGTGAAGATGGAGGCCCTGAATCTTGCCAGAGAAGGGGGCTAGTCATTTGCTCCAATTGCACACATGAGACGTGCAATAAACACATGCTAAATGACCAAGTGAATGAATCCATGAGTTCACCATGTGCCAGGCACGGTGAGAATTGTTTTCTTCCTTTGAAACTTTAAAAAAGGAAATTTGGGACAAATATGAGGGCTTTTCTCCAAGTTCATGGAAATGCATATTTTGAGAAAACTCTTCATGGATTAAATTTTTTGCATCAGATTATATTCATATTAGCATCTTATAACACATCTGAATGGGCTCTAGTTTGCGATACTAAGAAGGACGAGACATTAATTTGAGAACAGCCCCTACTGGAGGAACATGAATTCTGCTAAAATTGAACCAAGAACAAAAATCTACTTTATGCTGAAGTTTGGAAAAACAGTGAAATCATTGGTGCTTTTGAAGGGTTTATGGGAACAATACTCCAAATCAATCAGTGGTTTACAAAGGGATAACCCATTTTAGGAAGGGCTGAGACAATATTAAAGGTCAAGCCTCTGGTGGCAGATCATCCACCTCAATTTGAGAGGAAAAATTAATCTTGTTCATGCCCTAATTGGAGAGGACCAGCAATTAACAGCAGAAACAATAGCCAACACCTGCGTGTCTCATCGGCTTCTTCATATACAATTCTAACTACACAGTAGACTTTCTGTTCAAATGAGGCCAAAACAGTCGTACCTGGGTCAGCTAAGGGCAAAAGCAGAGAGTCCCAGGGAAATTTCAAACACGTGAGATCAAGATCCTGAAGCATTTCTTTCAAGAATTATAACAAGAAATAGAGCACGGTTTACCAGTACCGCCCTGAAGGCAAGGCACAACAAAAGCAATGGCTGCCAAGAGATCAAAGTGGGCCTATGAAAGCCACAGTGGATAGGTCCACAGCAAAGGTCATGGCACCAATCTGGGGGATGCTCAAGACATTTGGCTTATTTATATTCTGGAGGGCCAAAGAAAAGCAACGTTTGCTCACTATAAGTGTGCTTTGGAAAAGTAACCAAAGAAAAATAGAGCAGAACAATGCCCAGGAAAACTTCACCTGAGAGTCCTTCTCCCTCGTGACAACGCTCCTGCTCACTCTTGTTAACAAATGGGACATTTGGGGGCCAGCGCTGTGGCATAACAGGTGGGGCTACCGCCCGCAGTGTCGGCATCCCACGTGGTGCCAGTTGGAGTCTCGGCTGCTCCACTTCCAATCCAGCTCTCTGCTATGGCCGAGGAAAGCAGTGGAAGATGATCCAGGTCCTTGGGCCCTTGCACCAATGTGGGAGACCAGGAGGAAGCTCCTGGCTTCGAATCGGTGCAACACCTGCCATTGTGGCCATCTGGGGAGTGAGCCAGCAGATGTAAGACCTCTCTCTCTCTCTCTCTCTCTCTGTGCCTCTGCCTCTCTGTAATTCTGCCTTTCAAATAATAATAAATTGTTTAAAAAAATGGGAAATTTGTGAGAATTTTGGTGAGAAATCATTGGGCATCCACCATACAGTCCTGATTGGACTCCTTCTGACTTCTTTCTGTAATTAGTCATATTTTTAAAGGCACCCATCTTTCTTCAGTTAGTGATGTAAGAATGTCTGCATTCATGTGTTAAATTCTCCGGGATCTCAGTTCTTTATGGATGGTTTAAACGACTGGTATCATTGCTTACAAGAATATCTTCTATTTGATGGAACTATGTTTGGAAATACTTTATATATGGTATTGTATCTTTTAATTGCATTTTTCTATGACTGTTTTTGAAGTCCATTTGTAAAATACTTTTCTTTCCATATGCATAAGGACTGTTCAATCCTGCTAAGAATTTAAGGAAAGCAAATTAAAGCTGGGATGAAAGATTTTCCCCCCAGCCAATAAGCACACATTCTAAATTTAATAGTGTCAACTACAGTCCTCCCTCAGCACCCAAGGAGGATTGATGCCGGAACCACTTGTGGAAACCAAAATTCACAGATGTTCAAATCCCTTAGATGAGTATAAAACGGCATAGTATTTGCATAGAACCCACACACATCCTCTTGTATACTTTAAATCATCTCTAGATAGCTTAGAATACCTAATACATGTAAATACTATGTAAATAGTTGTTAAGCTGCGTTCTTTAGGGAATAATGACAGGAAAAATCCTGCACATGCT